CATACATTGTGGAATAATTAAACTGAACTAATTAACATATCCATCACCTTACACACTTGTTTTTTCTGGTGAGAATGTTTAAAATGTAATCTTTAAGCAATTTTGAAATACATAATACATTAACTATAGTCGCCAGGCTGTGCAACAGATCTCTAAAACTTGTTTCTCCCATATAACTGAAACACTGCACATTTTTATCAATATCTCCCCATTCACCACCCACCCCCAAGCCTCTGGCAATCACCATTCCCCTCCCTACTTCAATAAGTCTTACTGTTTTCGGACTCTACACAGGAACAAGATATAATGCAGCATTTGGTTTTCTGTGCCTGGCTAATTTCACTCAGCATCATCTCCACCAGGTTCATCCATCCACATTGTCACAAATTACAAAAAGTCCTTCTTTCCAAAGGCTGAACCGTGTGTAAATACCACTGCTATGGTTTGAGTTCGTCCCCTAGTGTTCCTGTGTGGAGAACTTACTGTGCAGTGCAACAGAGGTGAGAGGTGGGAGGTGGGACACCCATGAGGTGACTCGATCATCAGACCTCTGCCCTCGTGAGTGGGCCAATGCCATTATCGTGGGGGGTGGGGTGGCTACGGAATTGGGTGCGACCCCTCTTGCTGTGTGCGTGCCTTTTTCCCCTTCTGGCTTTCCCCCTGGGTTGAGACCGCAAGAAGGCCCTCACGAGATGCAGGACCCTCTGACCTTGAACCTCTCAGCCTCCAGAATCATAAATGAAATAAACCTCTGTTCTTCGTGAATTACCTAGTCTTAGGTGTTCTATTAGAGCAGTACAAAACAGAGCAAGCCAGAAAATTGATGCCAAGTAGTGGGACTGTTGGTGTGAGAAATACCTGAAAATGTAGAAGTGGCTTTGGAACTGAGTAATGGGTAGAGGCTACAGAAATTTGGAGGAGCGGCTAGAAAAACCATGTAAAATGGAGCATTAGAGGAGATTCTCATGAGAACTCAGAAGAAGAGAAGTGTAGAGAAAGCCTGGGACTTCTAGAAGATTACTTAAGTGGTCATGATCGGAATATGGATAAAGATATGGACGGACAAGTCATTTTGTTGCCTTATATGGTATTCTAGTTTTAGTATTTTGAGGAATTCCCATACTGTTTCTGTAATGAGTCTGTAATTCCCAACCCCACCAACAGTGTATAAGAGTTTCCCTTTCTCCTCCTCCTAGCCAACACTTATCTTCTGTCTTTTTGATACTAGCCGTTTTAATAGGTATCAGGCCCTATCTCAGGCTTATGTGTTTTCCTGCTGTTGAAATATTTGAGTTCCTTATATAGTTATAGCCCATTAACACATGTACAGTTCGCAAATATATTCTCCCAATCTGTGGGTCTTCTCTTCACTCTGTTAATTGTTTCTTTTGCTGTACAGAAGCCTTTTAGTTTGATGTGATCCCGTTTGTCTATTTTTGCTTTTGTTGTCAGTGCTTTTGGGATCATATCCAAAAAATTATTGCCCAGACCAATGTCAAGGTTTTACCCTATGTTTTCTTCTAGTATTTTTAGAGTTTTAGGTCTCATGTTTATGTCTTTAATTATTTGAATTGATTTTGTATATGGTATGAGACAAAGGTCCAGCTTCATGGTTCTGCATGTGCATATCTAGTTTTCTCGACACCACTTATTGAAGAGATGCTTCTTTCCCCAGTGTATCGTTGGCATCTTTGTTAAAAATCAACTGACTTTAAATGTCTGGGTTTATTCCTCAGATATATATCATGTTGCATTGGTCCCTTTGTCTGTTTTAGGCCAGTTTCATGCTGTTGTGATTACTACATGTTTGTAGAAGAGTTTGAAACCAGGCAGTTCTTTTGTTCTTTTTGCTAAATATTGCTTTGGTTATGCAGAGTCTTTTGTGATTCCATGAAAATTTTAATTTTTTCCTATCTTTGTAAAAAATGACAATGGAATTTTAATAGGAAGTCCATTGAATCTATAGATCACTTGAAACAGTATATTTTAATAAGATATATTCTTCCATCAGTAAAGATGAAATATCTTTCCATTGATCTGTCTCTTCTTTTATCAATATTTTATATTTTTAGTACACAGATCTTTCAGAATCACTAAAATTACACAATACATATTGCTTGTTCCTAGAGGGTGCCCTTGAGCTGGCCAACTATAACACAGACACTGGAAAGTAGTGAGGAGGAAAAGAATCTTCTCATATTTCTACAATGAAAAGTATAAAATATTGATTAAAAGAATGAAAATAACATACAAAATAGATATCCTATGTTTATGGATTCTAAGAATCAATACTGTTAAAATGTTCATACCCTACCCTAACCCTACCCAAAGCAATCTACAGATTTAACGTAAGCTCTGTCAAAATACCAATGACATTCTTCATAAAAATAGAAAAAATAACCCTAAAATGTATATGGAACTACAAAAGACCCAGAGTGGCCAAAATCATCCTGAAAAAAACAAACACAGCTGGAGTAGTCACATTAACTGACTTTAAATTATACTACAAAGCTGTAGTAACCAAAACAACATGGTATTAACATAAAAACAGACAAATTGACAAACAGAAGAGAAGAGAGAACCCAAAAATAAATCCACACATTTACTGTTAACTTCAACCAAGGTGCCAAGAACATATATTGGGAAATGACAGCCTTGACAATAAATGGTTTTGAGAAAATTAGATATGCATATGCAGGAGAATGAAAATATACCCCTATCTCTCACCATATACAAAAACCAAATGAAAATAAATTAAAGAATTGAATCTAAGACCTGAAACTGTGAAACTACTAAAAGAAAACACTGGGAAATCTTCCAGGACATTGATCTGAACAAAGATTTCTTGAGTAATATCTCAAAAGCACAGGCAACCAAGGCAAAAATATTAATAGACAAATGGGATCACATAAGTCTAAAAAGGTTCTGCACAACAAAGGAAACAATCAACAAAAGGAAGAGACAACCCAAGGAATGATAGAAAATATTTGAAAACTGCCCATCTGACAACAGATTAATAACCAGAAGATAAAAGGGCAAAAGACAGGAACAGAACTTTTCAAAAGAAGATAGATCAATGGCCAACAAACATACGAAAAAAATGCTCAACATCTCTAATCATGAGGGAAATGCAAATCAAAACCACAATGAGATATCACGTAACTCCAGTGAGAATAGCTTTTATCAAACAGTCCCAAGACAATAAATGCTGGCATGGATGCAGAGAGATAGGGACACTCACACACTGCTGGTGGGACTGCAAACTAGTTACAACCTCTATGGAAAGGAGTATGGAGATACCTCAAGGAAGAAAAAGAAGAACTACTATTTGATCCAGCGATCCCACTACTAGGTATCTAACTATAGGCAAAAAAGACATTCTACAAAAAAAGAAACCTGAACTCAAATATTCATAGCACCACAATTCACAACTGCAAAGATGTGGAAACAACTCAAGTGCCCATCAATGCATGAGTGGCTTAATAAAATGTGGTGTATGTATACCATAGAGTTCTATTCAGCCATGGAAAATGGTGAACTAATACTTCTTATATTAACCTGAATGGAGCTGGAGACCATTCTTCTAAGTGATGTATCACAAGAATGGAAAAACAAACACTCATCATTAAATTGGAAGTAATCAATCAGCACTTATGTGCACATATGGAAACAACACTCATCGGAAATCAAGCAGGTGGTAGGGGGGAGGAGAGGATGGGTAAATTCATACCTAATGAGTACAGTGCACACTATCTGGGTGATGGGCACACTTACAACTTTTATTCAAACAGTACAAAAACCATTTATGTAACCAAAACATTTGTACCCCCGTAACATTCTGAAATAAAAAAATATTAAAGTACAATATAATCTAGAAAAAAAAAAACAGAATATAAAAGGTACTCAACTCAATAAGACAAAAAAGTCAAATAATCTGATTAAAAAATGGGCAAATTTTAATAGACATTTCTCAAAAGGAGGCACACAAATGGCCAACAGGTATACAATAAAATGCTCAACATCATTAGTCATCAGAGAAATGCAAATTAAAACTTCAATGAGATATCTCACCCCAATTAAAATAGATTTTATATAAAAGATAGGCTGTTAAGGATTTGGATAAAGGAGACCATCAACACTATTAAAGGGAATGTAAGTTAGAACAGTCACTGTGGAGAACAGCATGGAGGATTTTCAGAAAAGTAAAACTAGGACTACCACATGATCCAGCATTCCCACTGCTGGGTATATTCAAAAGAAAGGAAATCAGTATATCAAAGAGATACCTGCACTTCCATGTTTGTTGCAGCACTATTAACAACAGCCAAGATTTGGAATCAACCCAAGTGTACGTCAGTGGATGAGTCAATAAAAAAAATGTGTGGTCCATATACACAATGGAATATTATTCAGCCATAAAGAAGAATGAAACCCTGTCATTTGCAACAACATGGATGGAACTGGAGGATATCATGTTGAGCGAAATAAGCTAGGCACAGAAAGACAAATACCACATGTTCTCACTCATATGTGGGAGCTTAAAAATACAAATTTAATTCATGGAGAGAGAGAGAGAGTAGAATGATAGCTACCAGAGGCTGGGATGGGTAAAGGGGAGGGAAGGTGAACAGGGAATGGTTAATGGGCACAAAAATACAGTTAGATAGAAGGAATACTATCTACTGTTCAGTGCGACAATAGGGTGACTATAATTAATAATAACCTGTTGTATATTTCAAAATAACTAAAAAAGTGGAATGGGAATTTTCTTAACACAAAGAAATGACAAAAAGCTTATGATAATGGATATCCCAATTATCCTGGTTTGATCAGTACACATTGTATGCTTGGATCAAAATATCACATTCACATCATAAATATGTACACCTCTTACTTATCTGTAATTAGATTTTTTTTTAATTAAGAAATACACATGTTTGTAACTAGAAAAGAAATAAATTAAGAGTAAATATGCATATTCAATAAAGAAAATTTCTTACACTGCTTTTGGTGTCATTGTACAAACATCTCCTGAACAATAGCAGATGTCAGTATTGTCATAAGTTAATCCCAGATTAAGGCCAAGCAACTGCACAATAATGGCAGTAAATGACTCCAAGGATAAACCATCTGTATACTAAATGTAAAGAAAAGACAAGAGTTAACTAAGAATTATAGTTATAAAACATTATTTACTATAATCAAAAATTAGCATACTAAACTCATTTTTTAAATTTATTAATGCATTCACAATACCTACGTAATGTAATTATAATAGAGTTATATACAATTTTTGATGATAGACTTTACTACACACAGATGAGTCCACATAATAGTTTATATTTAATTTCAAAATACTATTAACTTAAAATGACACCAGTTGTCCTAGCAAATCTAACATTCTTGAACACCATATTTCATTGCCTCTTTGAATTATTTTTTAAATGCCTTTTTTTAAATAAAAGTAATCAATTCTATATTCTTTCTATAGTGGGAAGCCTCTAAAATAGGCCCCAATGACCCCTATCTCCTGGTATTCATGTCTTGTGTAATCCCACTCCATTGAGTGTAAGCCACATTTATCGACTTGCTTCTAATTGAACATAGCAAAAGTGATGGGGCATCATTTCCAAGATAGGTAATAAAAAGATGGACTTCTTAAATTCTCTATCTTGCTCTTTCTGGCTGACTCTGAGAGAAGCCAGGTGCCATATATGGTAAGGTAGACCTGTACAGCAGCCCACACGAGTGAGCCTGGAAACAGATTTTCTCAAGTTTGCCAGCAGCCACCTGCCTGAGCTTCACCAAAAACCCTATCCCAGTCAAACTGTGAGATAACTACAGCCATTGCTGACACCTTGAGGTCAGCCTTTGTAAGAAACCCAGAGCCTGGGTAGAAGCCCAACACTGTCTGGGATGGGCACGCTTGTAGCTCCAACTCAGGTGGTGTAAATGCATTATATGTAACCTAAATGTTTGTACTCCTATAAAAATTTTGAAAAAATAAAAATAAATGAATAAATAACTAAAGCAAAAAAAAAGGAAACCCAGAGTCTGAACTACCCATTAAACTGCTCCTAGATTCCTGACCTATAGAATTGTACTTTATCTAGTAAGTTTTGATGTGACCTGTTACATAGCAATAGATAACTGATACATCCTCAGTAGGTATTATTTTGTTCTCCTCTATATCATTTCTAACATTTATATTTTCTTTTAAATGTCTGGCTCAGAAGACAAAGAGTGTTATCATATAGGTGAAGGAAAATAGCTATCATTCTCAATTTTAAATAATTTTGCATTAGAAATTGGAAATATTTGGACTAACCCAGCCCCTCACACACACATCATGGGGGCCCTCCGTGTAGGAGCTGGGCAACATTTGCTTCTGTGGAGAAACTCAGGCCTCTTATCATGTCACAAGGCAGCAACTGTGTCTGAAGAAAATGCTGACTACCGCTGCATCAGGCAGCACATGTACATTACAGGCTGTAGTGAATGATTAGTATAAGGCATAACACCAGAATCATCCCCCAACAGTCAGGCACCGCCATGCCTGAACTAAAGTGATGCCCTGCCTTCCTAGGCAACAGTGCCTTGGCTTCCCAGAGCAGTCACACTCCATAGTGCCTGAGCTGAAGTTGCACCCTGCATCCTAGGAATCACTGCCTTAGGTGCTCAGAGCAGTCATGCCCCCATGCCACCCCAGCCTGAACTGAAGTGGTGCCTCACCTCTGGAAGAATCAGTGCCATGGTGAATCTGAGCAACTGCACAACCCAGGGCTGAGCTGATGTGCTACCACATGTCCCAGTGAAACAGAGCATTGACTAAGCTGGGACATCCCAAACTGCATACTGAACAAATATAGTAGCCTGCTTCCCAGGAACCGGAGTATCCCCTAGAGTCTGAGCTGCTGATACACGGCCCCCTTCCTAGAGAGTAGAGTCATTGCTGTGCTGCTCCCTGTGCCCCAGAACCCGAAAATCAGCTTTGCTGTGCCATTCCAGGGTCCTTGCTGCTGCTGCACCTGGCCTCAGAGAGTATGGGATACTGCTATGTCCTACTATCTCAAGGTCCAGAAGAATTACATGGTGCCTCATCCCCTGAGGAATGGATTGCCACTTAGCCCTGCTGCATCAGCTTTCTGAATTGGAGATGTACCCTGCTCCCTGGGCTTAAACCTCCAGAGCACAGGAATTAAACTAAATTTTTGACAGCTGGATTTAACAGGTTTATATAGTACTTTCCATCCAACAGGAGCAGAATGTATATTTTTCTCTAGTATACAGGAACATTCTCCAGGATAGACCACAGCTAGCCACAAAACAAGTCCTAACAAAGTTGAGATGATCAAAATTTTCTCAGAATTTTACTGTTTCCAACCACAATAGCATGAAACTAGAAATCAGGAACAGGAATTTTAGAAAATTGAAAAATATGTGGAAAATAAATAGCATGCTCCTGAACAACCAATGGGTCAAAGAAGAAACTAAAAGGGAAATTTTTAAAGATCTTAAGACAAACAACTATGGAAACACAACAAACCAAAACCTATGAAATGAAACAAAAGCAGTTTTAAGAGGGAGCTGTACTGCAATAAATACATGCATTCAAAAGAAGTAATATCCCAAATAGCCTAACATCAGTAGCCTTGAGGAACTAAGAAAAGAAAAATCTAAACCCAAAGTTAGCAGAAAAAATGAAATAACAAAGATCAGAACAAAAGTAAATTTAAAATAAATAGAAAAACCATAAAAAAAATCATTAAAACTGAGTTTTATTGAAAAAAAAATAAACAAAATCCACAAACTCTTTGACATCTTAAGACAAATAAGAGGAGAATCAAATATGTAAAATCAGAAATGAAGGTAGAGATATCAACATACACATCAGAAATAAAAAGGACCGAGGTTCGGAAAATGGTGGAGTGAAGGTCTCCCCCCGGACTCCTGCTCCCAGGGAAGGAGACACAGATCTTGGCCTCCTACACGCGAGTGGATCTCCCCACTACAAGGACAGCATCGAGAATCCGCAGAGGTTCAGTGCGGGACTCTCATAAAAGGAAAAACAAGGTGATCGGGAGATAAGATCGTGTTCTCTGGAGAGTGCAAAGCAAACAATAGGGCGCGTCGGAGGGCACCGGCTCGCCGGGCCAGGGGGTGAAGTGGGATCAGACCCACAGGAGAAGTCCTTGGTTCCCCATCGATCTCCACACCCACCCGGCCAGGGACCTGTCTGAAACTGGCATGAAATGATGGCAGGAGAAGAGGGTGCTGGAGAGTGCGGTCAATGGTGGAAAATGACGTGAGCTCCCCTGAGCTAGCTCCCCTGTGCCAGGACAGCTCCAAGACCGGAGGAAACTGAGCTGAGCTGACAGGGGCTGTTACATGTCTTGCCTCTGCCAACCAGCAGGACTAAGCCGGGGGCTTTAAGCTGGAACTGCACCAGTCGAATAAGACAGCACAGGGCGGGTCAGTAAAAGCGAGGGCTATGGCTGAACTGGCGATCAGGCAGGCGGCACAGAAGAGACTACGGGGCGTCCTGTTGACCCAGGCTCCCAACCCAGCACCTGCCGCACCCTAAACAGTCGCCCCCAGTACTGGTGCCCTGCGATTGGGCAAGCGGTCGCCATTGAGGGGGTCCACAGCCCAGCCCTCATACGGTGTGGCGAGGAAGCCCCCTGCCCCCGCCCAGCCTAGAGTCTCTCCTGGCAAATCCCGCCCCTACACAATCTGTGATCGGCTCACCAGGTCTGGCTCCATCAACAAGCTACTGAGAAGTCTAACAGCCCAGGGGAGTCACAGCCACTGGGGTGCCGGGGTGCAGGGCAGACTGCGGAGATACCTCTTCCCCTCAGCCCGCATCTCTCTTGCTGAACGTGGTAGGCTCCACCCTTAGAGGCAAGGCCAGACAAGAAAACCCACTCTCCCCCAAATTTAGGGAGAACCCGCTGAAACTACCCCCCCCCAATCAGGGGAACCTTCCAAGCGTGGTGGAAGAGCTCCCCCTAGTGGCTCATCAGAAAATACAAAAATAGGACGCCTGAGCTCCAGCAATTGATCCCAGATGGGGAGGGCCCAGTGTAATTCAAAAAATCAAACCGAAAATACTCCCCCTCGGAGATACACCAGCTCTCAAGAAACAGAGACTGAACAAACCCAAAACACTAAAATGACAGAAGAAGAATTCCAAATTTGGATTGTAAGAAAACTCAATGATATGCAAGAAAAAAAATGGATAACCAACACAAAGAAACTAAAAAGAAGATACAGAATTTGGAACAAATATTCACTGAGAAGATCAAGATCTTGAAGAAGAATCAATCTGATATCCTGGAAATTAAGAATTTATTCAGGGAAATTCAAAACACAATGGAAAGCCACAAAAATAGGGTGGACCAAACAGAAGAAAGAATCTCAGAAGTTGAAGACAACACATTCAAATCAAATAAGTTAATCACAGAGTTAGAGCAGAAAAATACGAGACACGAGCAAAGCTTACAAGAATTGTGGGATTATACGAAGAAAAATAACCTGCAGGTCCACTGGATTCCAGATAAGGAGGAAGAAAAAATCCAAGGGTTGGATAAGCTATTTGAAGAAATAATTGAGGAAAACTTCCCAGGTCTAACCAGTAACCTAGAATTAGAAATACAAGAGGCCAAAAGGACTCCTAGGAGATACAATGCAAACAGGAAAACACCACAACATGTAGTCATCAGACTGAGCAAAATACAAACAAAAGAGACTCTGCTACAAGCTGTAAGGCAAAAGAAGCAAGTTACATACAAAGGAAAACCGATCCGAATAACACCAGATTTCTCAACTGAAATAATACCAGCAAGGAGAGACTGGAGACTCATTCTCACTCTTTTGAAACAAAATAATGCCCAGCCTAGAATCTTGTACCCTGCAAAACTAAGCTTTATATATGAAGGAGAAATTAAGACATTCTCAGATAATTTACCAAGTCTCAGGTAATTTACCAAGACAAGACTAGCCCTACAAGAAGACCTCAAAACAGTGTTACACACGGAACACCATAATAAAAACTCACGAATATAAAAACAACCAAAACCCAAAGATTAAAGGCCAGATAATACAATGGCTCAAGAGAAAAATCAAAGCAACAACATC